AAGAAATGGAGGATGGCTAGAACACGGTGCATTCCCTACTGTTACTGCTACGAATGGCAGCCTCGGCCAACTTGCTAGGTCGTGGGCTCCCTACCATAAAACAAAACCTGAAGGGCATGGTCGATTATGAATTTATGACTCATGAACGGATAAGGCTGTTCTCAGTTCTCACGACGTATTCCGATGGCATGTACCTACGATGTACGAGTAGTATACCTTCACCTTCCAGTAGAAGAGAAAGAAAGAAAGATTTGCCGTAGATATATAATGGAAACCGCCACATCTTGTTGATATACTCCACCCTTTCCCTTTGTATAGTATCTCAGAAGGTGCCGACTGTCGTATTACCACTTCTTACCTCTGTTGCTCAGAGGAGCACCTTGCAACCCTTTCCGTGAGTGCGTCATGGTTTGCGCGGCCGATCATGGTCGCTTGGCCAGTTGCGCCGCGAGTGCGTCGCCGTCAGGCGTCGCGATCCCCTGATGTGTGAATACATGGCGCTGTAGCTGTGTGGCTAGCCGACTGGCGGCCGCTGGCGTCGTCCGCGGGCACCGGCTGTCATACATCATCTGCCCGCAGTCGCTGGGTTCGACCTGCGTCTCCCTCAGCCTCAGGGTAAAGCTGCTTGCCAATTGCACGCACGGCGCCAAGCGAGGTGACAGGTGAGCCCGCCTTGGACGCGCCCTGTCCGCGTCGGCGCCGTCGTCAGTCGTCACGCGTGCTTCTCATCCTTCCTTGTGCGTACGTGAACAGTCATACCCCACTAGTCCAATCGGGCTAGCTAGCTTCCACCGGGCTCGTCCTTGCACTGATTGACTCATCCGGTAACGGAGTCCCACTGTCGTAGCTTTTGACGCTGATTTGTCAGGTTCATACCTTCAGATGGGCGCCAACAAGATGGCAATAATGTCGTTGTGTCTGTCCACCACTAGATTTTTCCCATTTCAGCAATGGGATCCATGCGAGCGCTTCGAGTTACGGACGCTCAACCTCCCCAAATCCCTCTCGAGTTTATCTGAAGGAATATTCCCATGTATCCCAACATATGTACGTACAGTATCTGTGGCCTTTTGGCATCCTGCTTGGACATTCAGATCGATGTCACCACTGACCAAAAGCTGGCTTCTTCCTCGGGGTGAATGCCAGTGGATGCCTACAGGCTACAGCTACTAGTGTGGTGCTGCGTGCCCCCACGTACTTGAACCTTTTAATCTTTGGAAAATGGGAGTGCTTATCATCCACTAACTTAACTTAACCATTGTTGGTATCATCGAAAAGCGAAATATAACTGCTGGTAGGCAGCCTGATTAGAGGTTCAGAGCAAAGGCACATGATGGCATGAATTAAGGTGCAGGCCATCGACTTTGCGCGATTAAATAACCAATCTGCAGATTGTTGGGGCGCCCACTGAAGGGCAGGGATGTTCTTTCTGTGTTCTTTTGCCGCCCTTTCCATCTTCCTTTCGCTGCCTTTTCGTTTGTGACGATGGTCGATCTCAAGCCTTATCCATACTTTAGTTAATTTCCTGCTGTATGGTATATATAGATCGTGGATGTATATTTTTTTTAATAAAAAAATCGATCGTGGATGTCATGTCGATGAGAGTCGGTGTATAATAGTATTTCTTTGTGTAGCGGATGACAAAAAGGATACCACTACCGTTGGCATGTACCAGGGTTACCCCATGTACCACGTGATTTTTGAACTTCAGAGAATGCTTTTGTTCAAAGATCATTTGATAGAGAGGACGTTGCTTTCTTTATCAATCCTCTGGTATTGGTTGATGCGATGGTTTCGCCGCCACTTGCGTTTTACTGGTTCAGAAAATGCATCGCTTTCCGCGCTCTGTTGTTACAGTTTTTTTTTTTTTGGGGGGTCAATTGTTTTTATTATATACAGCATCCCTGTGCTGTGCAGTTGTGCTGGAGAGCACAAAGGAGTCAGTTTCACTTGATCCAGTTGTGCATGGCGTGGTGGATCAGTAGTCCAAATAATTATTCTGCTCTAGTTGACGTGTGGACCATCTTGTTCGAACTTGATCTCAGGATCTATGCTGTCATCAGCAGCAACTCTAAGCCTACTAGGTTTGGCCCATGAGCCCATAACGTATATATCGACTAAACCACCAGAATTAATCTAGCTAGGCACCGGAGAGTTCATAAGGCTGACTCCCACATCTCGATGACCAAGAGGATGTCGTTGTAGATCTATGTCAAGTTCTTCACCAAATAGGAGCATCAAACCCTAATCTGATGATGACCAAGGGCCTATATCATTTGTAATGGTTCCTGCATCAATTATAGAGGCATTCGTGTTCACCTAGCTAGTTCTGGTTAGACCCTAAGCATCTGATTCCGTATAGGTAATGTTAGTGATCATGCTTTAGATAAGCTAAAATCCTGTTTATGGATTAGATATGTTAACATAAGATCTAACACATAGCATGTGTTCTTACATCAAACTATTTCGTACTCCTAAGTCCTATTCTTTGGGAAAAAAGGGCTTAAATGGCTATGGTTAACTAAAGATCTACACACCATATTATTTTATTTATTGCCTCTCCTACACCCAACTTTTGCACAATGGTATTTTCATTACCATTTCATCTTTTTTTAGATAATGGAAGAAAATCTGGCTTTATCCCCACAAGTGAGGAATCAGACCAACTCCTTTTTTTAATTCTACCTCTGGTCTTCTTTCTCTTCAACCTCAGCTCCTTCCGGCCATGGTTCCCAAGCAATGCTTCAGTTTCATGCCGCCCATTTATGATGATTCTAGTTGTTGGATCTGTCATTGGGCTAACAGTTGTAGCAAATTGCCTTACACAAACTCTTTGCTACCTACCATCCTCTGCACCCCAATGGTGGACTCCCGGTCTCCTCACCCACAACTGCCTTTTCTATTGGGCCAATCTTCATCTGTGTCATTACCTCCAACATTTTTCAAATGGACAGTAAAAGCTTTACCGCTATTTTTATAAGAAAAAAAAATGTCGGTCTAGATTTTTTAACAATAACTTGAAATATCCAATCCAAAATCCATCGATCTGTGGGATAAACTCGATCTTGGAAGAGGGAGGAGAATAAGGTCAATATAATCACTAGAGTTACATGGTGAGGGGGGTTCCTCAAAGGGTTGCTACTGAAGGTGAGGTTTAGTGATAACTAGTTCCTCAAAGAGAAACATTACAAGCATGCAAAACCTGAAGAATAAAACTTGTTTTTTGAAAAAGAAAACATTGAAGTGGATCTAGATCCGAGATATAACAAAATAGAAAACAAATACATTTGCCCTAGCAATTAAAAATATAATAATTTGTTCATGAACCGTGAAGACACTTCTAGGAGATGGTCATTATAGGCCATTTCTCGAATACGCAAGAGAATTGCGTATCATTTTCATTAAGAGGAGAGAGATTCAATTAGTTACAGGCCTAGTGGCCAATCGAGAAACTGAAATCGATTACATGCAGAAAAAAACTCAACCGAAGGACTTAGGCCTTAGTACTGCAACTAAGCTCCTGGCGTCAGGCTCGCCAATCCTCGCGCACCAGCTGCGATTATAGGCCATGTGTGTATATTTTCATAGGTGTGGGTATGTGTGTACGTGGGCATTTGCATATGTTAATTGTTCAATCGAATAATCTTTCGTGGCGTTTGCCATTTAACCTTTCAATGATGATTAACATCGTACTCTGAATTCTGCTATATGAACACTTGAGACATGCCCTTTTGTTATGTGTACGCACCTTCTCTCCCGTTCCCTGCTACAGACTCAGCTACGACGATACGCTTATGAGATCAGTTATGTATTGTGTTCTTTCTGCGACCTTTTCTTAATCTTTTTGGTTGCCTTTCGTTCGTGAGTCGTGACGATAGTATCCATACTTTATAGTTACAGGATTGTATATTATATTAATTGTTTTTTTTAAGATCCGGCCATTCCCGCGGCTTATATTAATTATATTGTATTGATTGTGGATGCCATGTCGATCCTGCTGGCACGTATATATCCTCGTGGTTCCTGAACTGATATAGACTGCTTCTGCTGAAAGATCAATTTGATATATGGACTCTTTCCTCCCTTGTCAAACGGGCCAGTAATGGTGATTGATGCGATAGTAGTTTCACCGCCATTTGTGTTTAATCCAGAAAAACGCATTGCTTTCCGCGTTTTGCTCACAGCTAAAATTTTGGAGTTGAATGTGGTTTGTTTTAGATACGGAGCAGCCTTGTGCCGTGCAGCTGTTCTGAAGAATTCCACAAGAAAGTCATTTCCACACGATTGCGCACGCGTGGCGGATCCCATCACAAGAATGATTGTTCTGACTTGTTTTGTAATATAGTTGTCGCCTATCTGGATCAAGCATACGCGCATCCTCAGTCCATTCTGCTACGCACCACGGAATGCTATGTCATATGTTCGGTTGGTGAAAGATCAATTTTGTGGAAGCATATGTCATGATATCCACACGATTGCGCACGCGTGGCGGATCCCATCACAAGAATGTGATTGTTCTGACTTGTTTTGTCATAAGGCTTGAATGCCTGGAAACAGCTAGGGCTGTTTCAGCCAAACGAACATGATGTTGAATGCCTGGAAACAGCTAGGGCTGTTTCAGGAAAAAAAATACATAACTACAGAAATGATCGCTGATCCTGTCCATGATTCCATGAACCAACCCTAATAGGCTAACACCCACCCACACAAACAAGAAAACATTCAAACAAATACTGCTCCGAGACTGAACAAATTAAGAAGGAAAAGGAATACATTTGCCCTACCAAGCAAGCTAAGTGCCACTATATATCAATCGCTGAATCAAGCAATCTTCTTAGCATTAACCATTTAACCTTGTGCTGATATGATTAATAAAACTTTACTCTAGATTCTATATGAACACTTGAGATATAACCAGCCCTTGGATGTCCATGTTCTCTCCATCCATCTACTTGAGATAAAACTTTACTTCAGAGGCGGCGGACCCCCAGACGAGACGATCAGTTCAGGAAGGCGCAGTCGCGGCGGATGTTCCCCTGCGACGGGTCGGTCTTGACGCCGACGCGGCCGAGCCTGGTGATGGCGTCGACGAACGCCTGCTCGAAGTCGGTGGCGTTCTGCGCCCACGCCACCACGGTGGGCTGCGACCGGGCGTCGGAGTAGAGCACCTGATCGGAGGTGAAGAGCCCGCGGCCGTTCACCAGGTTGACGAAGTACTGGTTGTCGAAGGCCTGCGGCGTGACGGGGTCCAGCTGCAGTGCGATGTTGGGGTCCACCCCGGCCGGGCACGCCGCCTGCAGGTCCGCCGCGTACGTCGCGTTCATCGTCGGGTCCACCGACTGCGTCTGGATCCGGTCCGCGAACGTGCTGCAGTGCCCGAACCCCACCGTGTGCGCCGCTGCAAGGATTGGAAGAGGAACAGCTCAACAACGTGCCACTCCGAACACGCAGATTTTCTCTCTCTCTCTCTTTTCCCCAATACAAGCATACAAATTTCAGTGGACCATGTTGCAGATTGCAGTGCAGGTACATTTTTTTTCCATTTTAAAAATGTTTCTTTGCGGTATGCTTCTGCAGTCAGCAGTCCCGCATCGTGACACTGAATGATGCCACGAGTTTTTTTCCCCCCTGTTTCGACAGCTCATTTGGCAGGCCTGTATGTGCCTCAATCAATGGGCCGAATAATGTAGCTGGGCGCTGTCTCAGTAGCAAACGGTCTGGGTCACAGTGGAGGCCATGGAGATGATGGAGTACAATAGTGCGATGCTGACCTTTCTTTGACGTGCAACTGTGCAAGCAAGCACGGCTACCGAGCATTCCAGACAGAGACAGTCGCCACAGTTGACCCATTTCAGATCTACTACTACTAGCGACCAGCTGCAGTGCCACACACTCTACTACTATTCGTCTGTGATAATAAACTGATCAGCTCTGCTGTTCTAAATGCATTTTCTATCGTGCTACGGTTCCCTCGAGACCACACAAAAATGTTGCAGTCTTAATTGCAGAGCTGGGCGGCGTTGGCCTTGGTTGGGCTGGGCCCTTTGCTTGACTTGAAAGACATGGAACGGAGCACATGGAAATCTAGCCTGTGTACGTACTTCGCTAATGCTGGTACAGCAGTTGGACTAGAACTTTTCTTTAGAAGAAAGAAAGCAAATGACTGGAGTCCTAGTAATTTGGTTGGGGCAGTAATAATTTGCTCACCAGATAAAGCAATCATGTCGGCTTGCGACAGGTTGTTGACGGCGAACATGCTCGTCAGCTGGTCCAGGTTGAACGACGGCGGCGGCAGCTTGCCGTCGACGTTGGTGGACATGGACACCAGCCCGTCCAGCCTCCCCAGCTCCACCGCGTACGACGGCCCGCCAGCCTGCACGAATCCAGGATCGTTACTTCCAGAGCCTGTAGCTGTAGTGCTGTACTACACTACTACGCTTTACGCTACTACTAGCATCGCAGGGAATCCTCCATCCAAAGTTCGGGAGCTTTGGTTTGGGGCCGAAAGGTGCGTGCGATTTGTGGGGCATTGATTTGCGCCGCGTGCTAGGAGACGTAGGACGTACCAGGGCAATGACGTCCCGGGTGGCCAGGGCCAGGATGTCGGCGCACGACACCTGGTTGGTGCACGCCGGCACGGCGTCGACGGCTGCCTTGGCCTGGATGACGGTGTCGAAGCCGTCGCCGGCCAGGGAGAGGTTGCTCGGGTGGTCCTTCTCCGCCGTGTTGTTCCCCGTCGACACCAGGATCACCGACGCGTCGCAACCCTGCGCGAGTTCATTCATCATGGGCAGTCGTGGTCACAATCACACTCACGCTCACATGGCAAGCAATTAAGCGCACATGCGATGGGACCGAGCGCGCGCCGCCCGGCATGCTCTCCAATCGAAGCTTTGGGAAGGAAGGGCCGGCAGAATTCATGACGCACCTCGACGAAGCAGTCGTGGAAGAAGAGGCGGATGGTGGCGCCGACGGCGACGGGCTGCGCCTGCACCTTCTTGGACACCGCGTCGCGCACGATGCTCTCCAGGTCCGGGCACACCGCCGCGTAGTAGTCCTGACGCAGCTGCGCCGTCACGCCGCCGGCGGTGGCGGCCGCGAGAGCCGCCAAGAACGCCGCCAGGATCCTGATCCCGGCGCCCATGCTGCCGCGCCTAGCCCGTCCACGCGCTCCCTCCTCTGCTGTCTGCTCCCCACAGCGGTAAGCTGGCTACGAACGCAGACTGGGTCGCCCCTGCTGCTGCTGAGTGTCTGTCTCCTCGCACTCGGCGCGCGTGGCAGCAGGCCAGCAGCGGCGGCTTATCACACTCCCACTCTCCCAGGTACTGCCGCGAGTGATGGCGGCTGGTGAGGCTGTCGAGCGCTGCGCTTGTGGCTGCAGCAGGTAGCGACCGGTGAGGTGATGATCGGGGGGCAAGTGCCGCGTGCGATTGCGTTGCAGTACAAACCAAGTCTCCTCGGGAGTCAGTGCTGAGCGAGAGTTTTAATGCGCGCGGCGCGGAGGCGGAGGCGCGGCGGCGCGCCGGACGTGATCGACGGCTGGGGGGCACGCGCCGAGATCCGTGCGCGGGGTTGGATGGCGAGGCGGGGATCTAGAAGCGGGGGCGGGGGCCTTGCGGACACATAAGCCCTGCCGCCCTGCGTATCTATCCGTCCGGTCCGGTGGGCGTATGCGGTATGGCTAGCTGGCCGCCGGCGATGCGAACATGTGTGCGATCGCAACCTCCACATGGCGCGGTTGGTGCGTTTTGCAGCAGCAGCGGCCAAAGCCCAGAGGCACAAGTAACAATGCCATTACTGTACTCGTCAGTACTCCCGTGGCACAAGTAGACAGTACTGCTAATATTACAAATGAGCAGATCATGCTTGTCCAGAGGTTCACAGAGATCTCACCTCACGAGAAGAGCAAGCAACAGAACAGAGTTCAAAATCAAGGTTCACTTCTTTATCGGAACTGTCTTCTTTAACCAAAGGTGGAATCTGGAATGTGTGTCACGGCTCTAACGGACTGGAAACAAGACTTCATCTTACTCAAAGTCTCCAACAAACTGAAAACAAAAGCTCGGTCTGTAGATTATGGGACCTCGCGGTAACACGGGCGCAAGAGATTGCACATGCATCACGCGACGGATGGTCGTCACCGCCGCGCCGCGGCGGTCCCGTGCACGTTCGTTATTAGGCGATGCGTGACTCGATGGTTCGATGCAGCAGCAGGTGAGAGTCTCTGCTCCTCTGGAACCGCGAGTGCGTCCAAGGTAAGGCGTCTGGCCTGCATCCCGGGGCAGGTTTTATGATTAGATTTGGAGACGTCCAGAATCAGCCGCTAGTAGCTGCTAGTGCTAGTAGTAGCGACGATAGTTGGTGTGCCCTATGGGTCGTGGCGCTTCACGGCAAAAAGTGGCATGTACCCGAAAGAGTTCCGTTGCTTCTTCAACCTTCCTGCGGTAGCCAGCCCCCCGTAGCCGCCAGTGTGCTGGCCCTGGCCCTGGGCGCCTTGGATCGTAGCATGGCCATCTTCGTTTCTCTTATAATTCGTCTTTTTCAGTTTGGTTTTTCATCCGAAACAGCATTTTTCTCTCACAATAAATCAGCCGGAATAATATTTCACCTTGTTTTTTCAGCGAAACGAACAGAGCCGGCGTCCTCTTTTTCCAGAACCACGCGTCTCAAGTGCATGCGTCTGCCAATTTAGCACTAGTTAATTACTAATGTCCTCGGCGACGACGTATATACTTCTTCTTTCCGATCCTTTTGTAAATTTTATTAGCAGCAGCCCGGGCGCACTACTGAGGCTGGTAATTTCCGTGCAACGGTCGAAGGAATTGAAAATGACGGTCTTTTTGAACGTTGGTGTTGATGTTAACATCCACTTATCCGAGACCCCAAGCCAAGGCCGTCAACGACTATTGTGTCGGCTTATTGGTTAACCCTGATACTAATATTAGGCCCCGTTTGCTTGTCTGAAAAAATAAACTAAAATATTATTCTGACTGATTTATTGTAAGAGAAAAATACTATTTTAATTGAAAAAACCAGTTGAAAAAGACGACAGGGCCTACGTTTGGTGGCGATTAACGGGTACCTAACGTCAGCTGCCCAGCCTCACACCTAACTGCCTGAGCCGCCGTTCCTGATCGGTCCCCTGCCTCCTCCGATCGGCCACGCTCAAAATGGGGACCCATCAGTAGCGGCGCCTCCATCAGGCCCACGGCCCAAGTAGCGGTGACAGGACAATTTCAACAGCGGTTTGCCTTCCATTATTTAGCGCGGCGTCAGGTGTTGACTGAAAATGAGAGGGAAAAAAAAAGCTATATCTAGGAATCCGCTTGAAATGGGCTTTAAATTGCTGTTGTTGATGGGCCGGGTCATGGTTTGCGGAATCATTATTGTAACCCCAAAAAATAATACATACTATTGCTTTTTCCTAATAAAATCGAGTTCAGTTTTTTATTAATCAATCACGAACGCACATTAGGATCAGGTGTATCGCTGTCGTGTAGCAAACCCAAGTTGCTCAACTGGATATCCACGTCACGGGCTGTGTGCGTGTGATCGTTACGCGATGGATGTGGCTTTGGCCTAGGAAGTTTGTCCAGGACGAGACAAGGCTAATCAAATGGGGGCGAGCGACGACTCTCTGATGCTTCGGTTCAGCTGTCGATTTCTCGGGTAGTTGCAGTGTCCCTACCAAGCGGCTAGGCCAAGGCCGATGGGCGGCTCCCAAGTCTTCCCGTCAAGGGTCGGAGCGCCAGGTCTGCAACGGCACCGCAGGCTGTTCCTGCTCTCGCAGTCGCAGCCCTTTTTTCGTTTCAGCGAATGCGCGCGTGCCCTGTGATCCTCCTGCCCTCCTGGTGCTGGTCTCTGTCGATTGGTGCGCGCGCGAAGCTGTCTGTCGCGGCGACTCCGCGTGTTCGCATGGAACGGGTCCGGACTCCGGAGGCGGTGACACGGGGTTTTGGCTTTGGAACGAGCGTTATAAAGGAAATTTGAAAGAATACGAGTGCATTTCATTAATTAGAAAAAGGAGTACAATAAAACAGTGGCGGAACCGGAACCAGCAAATTTGATTAAGAAGGGCCGAACATATATAATGACATCTCTGAACATGACAAATATATACACAAGTATACGTCTCAAAATCTGTTTCAATGTTTTTACATATATAATTAGTATTTATAACAAAAATATCATAATATAATGATAAAAATGTGTGATTTGATGTCTTATTTTGCTGTCAATTGAAATATGTATAGGGGTACTAAATAGAAATTCCATTGGATGGGCGTGGCATGGCCCGTACTGCCCCCCACCCCCCGCGTAGTTTTGCCAAAGCAATAAAATATTTATCAGAAGTTCACTGTATATATATAATGCATTATATTATATTTAAATATGCTCCTTTCTGGCATGTAAACCAGTGTACCAATTTCCATGCCAAACATAAATGACTCCATCTAAGTTTGGGAAAGCTTCTAGCTATAGATTCGTCGTGACAATCACCTGTAGATAGGTAAATGAGTAAAATACAAATGTATTCTAGTGGTGATCAGACAAGAATCATTTCTTTATTTCACGGGGAGCTGAAAACCTGCTCCTCACCGCTCTCATTCAGTTCCTACCAGAATCACTTTCCACCTATTCCACACCCTGCCCCCACCAGAATCACTCCATAAGAGAATTTGGGAGCTAGAGATAAGAATCAGGGGATGGAGCTCTACCAAATAGGTCCCAAGGATTCAACTAAATATATGCCAAATACACATGTAGATTTTCATAACTTTGATCTTTATTAATACTCTGATCTATATGAGTATTTGTATTGTAGGAGCATCATGTTAACACATGCAAACTACATGTAAGTTCATATTTCAATGCAAAGATGTTTTTGGAGTTTTAGAAGGCATGGTTTTGGAGTGCCATGAAATGTTTGGATGCAATAACTCCATGGTTTTTAAATCATTAAGTATTCATAAAACTGTAGCCTTTTGAAGTTTTAAACACTCCACTATAGATCCCTCTTTTCTAAACCATAATTTTGCATGTCTATGGTTTCTAAAACTGCAATTTCTCATTACTATGATTTCTTAATACTATGGTTTCGGAAAAAAAAAAAAATTAAGCATCCAAACAGGGTGTATATATTTTTCTAGGGGGGTTGCCAGGATCGGTAGGGGGGGGCTAGAGCCCCAAGAATTGCCCCAGGGTCTAAGTTTTTTCTAGCTGCAGTCCCCCACTCGGCTGCAGTCTTTCGCACGGCTGCAGCTGCTGTGGCTATTTGTGCACCATATCTTTTTACTTTCCTCTACATTGTTTTGCTGC